AACCCTTTAAGAGAACCCTTAAAGGCCTGCCAAGCCCGCAGGTTCGTTGGCCCCTTCTTCCTGCGCGCCAACGAGGCCAACGTGGACCTCACGAGGCGGCAGCTCCGGCGTCCCGTGCGTTTGCACAAGCGAATGAAAGCGTGGGAACTCTGACTTTGGGACTTTGGGTGTTGGTTGGGTTTAGGGTTTAGGGTTTAGGGTTTAGGGTTTAGGGTTTAGGGTTTAGGGTTTAGGGTTTAGGGTTTAGGGTCGTATTTGCAGGTGTACACAAGCGAGTGAATAAGTGTGTATGTGCATATTGTGTGTATATGCCATGTGCACATGCCTTGGCTGCTTTACAGGTGCATGTGTTTACACTTATATGTCGAAGGGTCTGCTAGTGCCGTCCATCTGTTCTGAAGCAGGCTTCGTTGAACTACGAATCTATCCATATACGTCTAAGCATATGCACACACACACACACACCCGCGTGCGCGCTTCGTTTGTATGTCAGGTCATGTTGTGAGAATGCATTGATATGCTCATTGCAGCAACTGTATTTTTGATTTCTGTGTATTCTTAGACAGCATGTCATAGTATATGAGTACGATGTTTACTACAGCGCTGTAAAACGTGATACGGTGCGACGTATTGCCACCCGTTGCTCAATATTGTGTGATGAAGCTACCGTATCTGGTCCGGTGCGTTTCGCTTAAATTCTTGTCACCTGCCTACAGCAGTTCCGAGAGATATGTTTACTGTCAACATCTAAACACAGAAGATGTTTCTACACTCATAGTCAGCGCGACCATGACCAAGAAGCTTGGAACACGAGACCCTGCAAGCCCAGGACCAAGCCCTACAGTAGCTGAAACCTACAGCTTCAAGTCCTATGCGCTAGAGACGCAGGGAGCCCAATACTCCTTAATCAAGGAATATACCATAATATACCTTAAATCATAATATTAGGGCCCCTATAACTTAAGGTATATTCCTTAATTAAGGCGTATTGGGTTCTCTGGGGAAGGCTCCGTGAGTGGGTGGATCAGAAGCTGCTTCGCACGGAGGTTGCCGAAGTCTTCCGCACCTTGTTTCGGCAAGGAGCGGTTCTTGTTGCGGTGTTTCCGGGGTTTAGGGTTTAGGTGTTTCCGGGGTGTTGTAGGATCTTTAGTGTCTTGCTTGCATTAAGTTTTTTTTTAGGGGAGGGTTGAGCCATTGGGTTCCTCTGGGCCTAGAGTCTGCGGGTTGGACGGCATCTCTACGTCAAGCTGTCGCACGTCTCGAGCTCATCAGCACACAACTACCGCTCGAGCCGTGATAAATCTACATGAACTCCAGCTGGCAAGCTTACGGCTTCGAAGCTAACTCCCAAGATTTGAAGGCAACCGGTAGGCTTCATGATTGAGCGGCATTCATTCCCCAAGAACCAGCAAGGGAGCAAGGAGGAGCCCCCCCAACGGCAGGAGAGCTTTCTGAAGCTCAAGAACACCTGAAGGCTGGAAACCCAACAGAATCGAAACGCGAATGCCTGAGCCATGTAAAGCGCCATAGCTATGACCTTGTCCAAAACCTATACCCTAAACCCCTAAACTCCTAAACCCCTAAACCCTAAGCCCTAAACCATAATCAGACAGGGGCCACTACACAACAAAACAATACTAATCTATCGTTCTCGTTCGACCCAAGAAGAGCCCGAAAGCCGCCAGACTCCCTCCACTTCCAGGTTTCGAGGATGCCCCGAAGGCCCTTGAGACCTTGGAGGAGGGCGGTGGGCACAACACCAAGAAGTCGACGCTCGGTTTAGGGTTTGGGGTTTAGGGTTTAGGGTCTCCTGGGTTTAGGAGTTTAGGAGTTTAGGGGTTTAGGGGTTTAGGGTTTCGGGATCCTTATTGAGTCAACCCTAAACCCTAAACCCTAAACCCTGATTTTTGGAGTTTCCGCAGCCGGATGTTGGGGCCCATGCGCCGCCAAGGAAGAACAAACCCTTCCGGGGAAAGGTCGTCGTCAAGGTGACCTCCTGAGAGCCCCGGCGGCTCACTCCGCAGGCTTTTCTGTGGCAAAGGACCTTCCCAGTGTCTCTGAAATCCTACTTGGAGGTTCATCGGTAGTTATAAGTGGGGCTATAAGTCCCCTAATATGGGTTATGCGTATATAGTTACCCTAATGAGAACCCCATTTTTAACTACCCATGAACCCTAACCCCTAAACCTTAAACCTTAAACCCTAAACCCTAAACCCTAAAAGACCTGTCATGCATTCCCCGAAGCGGCGCAGGTTCCGGAAGGACTGCGAAAGTGAATGAAATAATCTTGAGAAGGTCCCGAAGTGTTCGCGAGCTGTACTCGAAGAATCGCCGGCTCCCTTGGCATTGTTCGGGGGTAGCCTTGTCATTCCGAAGACAACTTCAACATCCGAACCCATACAAGCCTCAAAGCCAAAGAGTTGAAACGCAAGGTCTAAGCTCCTGCACCCTAAACCCTAAATCCTAAACCCTAAACCCTAAACCCTAAACCCTAAACCCTAAACCCTAAACCCTAAACCCTAAAACCTCAGGCCAGTAGGCCCATACCCTCAAAGCTCCAACTTCCTGATTTCACAGGGCTAAGGAAGCCACACAGCCCCAAAGCTGCCAGCAAACCCTAAACCCCTAAACCCCTAAACCCTAAACCCCTAACCCCCTAAACCCTAAACCCTCACCCCTAAACCCCTAAACCCCTAAACCCTAAACCGTAACCCTAAAACCCCCAAAGCCCCAGCAAATTTGAGTCTTACGATTCGTACCGGAAGGCTTCGAACGTCCCTCGGAGTCTACTCGCCGGAGCATTTTCGGGATTCAGGGTTTTGGGCTTTAGGGTTTAGAGTTTAGGGTTTTGGGCTTTAGGGTTTTGGGGTAAACCATAAACCCTAAACCCTAAACCCTAAACCGGGGCCTCAAAGGGCCGAAGAATTCGAACTCAAGCTGCAACCCTACACCCTGGACCCCACAAGCCCTAGAAACCCACTGTACCCCACAGGCACCCCATAGAAACCCCCCCCTTCAAGGGTTTAGGGTTTAGGGTTTAGGGTTTAGGGCTTAGGGCCCGAATCTACGCCGGGCCCGGCGTCGAGAATTCGCAGCGTGGCCGAAGTTTGCCTCTCTGCGCGGCGCGGACGACGGATGGGACTCCAGGGTTCCGGGACAAAAAGGGGGGGGGGGGGTCTGTGGATTCTCTTTAAGGAGCCCCAAGGATTCCTTTAAAGGGGGTTCGCAGGATTCTTTTAAGTTTTTTTTTTGCTGGATTTTGTTAAGGGGTCTTTAAAGGGTTCTAAGCAGTTTTTATGGAATGTTAAGGGGTCTTTACGGGTTTACGGGGTTCTAAGCAGTTTTGAGGGGTTTCTAAAAGGGTTCCAAGCAGTTTTTAGGGGAGGTTGTTTTAAAGCGGTTCAGGGGTTTAGGGTTTAGGGTTTAGGTTCAAGGGTTTGATCCTCCAGCTCCCGAAAGCCTGAACCATTCGACCCTCATGCTGATGTCTCCCGAGCGGTCGACCTGTGCTAAACGGCAGGGTTTAGGGTTTAGGGTTTGGGAAGATGAAATGTGGTAGCTGTTAACGCAGTGGAGGGCTTTTGTGGGTTGCGGACATTTTGTTTTTCAAGGTCTGTTGAAAGATTCCGAGACCAGCGTCTTTAGGCTGCGTTTCGGTAGCACCTTTGGGATGTGCTGCTAGCGACTGAATATAAACCCTAAACCCTAAACCCTAAACCCTAAACCCTAAACCCTAAACCCTAAACCCAACCAAAACTCCGGGGGTTGTGGAGTTTCTGGCTTCCTCGGACCCCAGGAGCTCCTGTTGTATTGAGACCTTGCACATAGGCCTAAACCTCCTAGGTAGGATTAGGGAGACCTCTGACAGGGTTTAGGGTTTAGGGTTTAGGCTAGGGATTAGGGAGACCCCTGAAAGGGGAGCCTTCTCAACTCTACGGATGGCGCTCTTAAAAGAGACCTTCTTCAGAAGATCTATATCCCCAAGAATTCCCCTAGTCCTAACTCCTAAAACCTCAATTAAACTTGAGCCCGCGAAAACCCTAAACCCTCAACACTAAACCCCTATCCACAGTGCAAGCCTCGTAAGAGGCAGGCTTGATCGCACAGAATAGGGCACTCCACTTTCAAACAAAAAACCCCAAACCCAAAGCCCCCACAGCCAACGCGCTGCCCGCAGCTCTTTGCAGCGGTGTGCCGCTCGAGCCTTTCTCCGTAGAAACTGTAGCAATGGCTTGGCTTCACCTCTTCGCCCTGCTTGCAGGCATGGCTTTCGGGAGGTTTGGGTTTAGGGTTTAGGGTTTAACCCCAAACCCAAAACCCTAAACCCTGAACCCAAAACCCTGAACCTAAAGCCCGAAATCCTAAACCCCAAACCCTAAACCCTCATACCTCCCACAAAGCGACATGGAGCCTCCAGCAGACGATTCGACCTCCCCTGAGTTAGACTCGGAACCCTAAACCCTAAACCCTAAACCCTAAAGCCCCTTGTTGCCGGATGCTGGAGTCCATGAGGGGTCTGATGGTGGAGGGCTGGGTCTGACGTAGGGTTTAGGGTTCATGGGTTCCTATAAGGATTCTATAAGGGATCTACAATAGGGTTTAGGGTTTAGGGTTTAGGGTGTAGGGGGTCTTAATAATGACTGGAGGCATCCGTCACGTGGATTGTAGATCCCTTATAGAACCTGTTAAAGAACCCTTAAAGGAACCCATGAACCCTAAACCCTAAACCCTAAACCCTGAACCGAACCCCCCAAGCAGGCGCGAGCAGCTTCAAGCTTTACACCAACCACAGTGTCGCTGACTCTCAGGCAGCGGCGCTTTCTTGGGTTTACGGTGTAGGGGTTTAGGGCTTAACGTTCAGGGTTTAGGGTTTAGGGGTTTAGGGGTTTAGGGGTTTAGGGTTTAGGGTTTAGGGTTTAGGGTTTAGGGCTAAGGGTTTAGGGGGGCCGGATCGGTTCGTTCTGTTTGTAAGTGTCTTCGTAGACGGTCTGTCTGAAAGTTCATGAAACCCCGGGACGATTCCTCGCTCGCGGAACGCCAGGGCAACTGGAAGCTCGCGCTGAAGGTTGGCAAGACAGCGACGCTGGGCTTCTCCAACTCGCTCTGGACCAACAGCGACTTGCTGAACGAGGCGTCGGCGCCGGCGACGGAGGAGGATGCCAAGTACAGCGCATTCAACACGGAGCCTTTCAAGCGGGTTCGCATGTGCGTCGGAAGCCCGGAATCCAACTGTGTGGAGCACGTCTTTTCCAAGAAGTACGACAACGCGAAGGCCCTTTTCAGTGCCGGGTACATTCGCGACAAAAGCGTGAAGCGGGACGAGATTCTCAGTACCTTCGGGCCCGCGAAAGACTCCTACCAGGACTGCCCCATGCAGAGGCCGATGACATGAATTGCATGTTTGCCCTTGCAGATATCGTTTCGATTGCTTTCGCTTTGGCTATTCCTGCCGCTGCCGCTGCTGCTGCCACTGCTGCCGCTGCTGCCGCTGCTGCTGCTGCTGCTGCTGCTGCTGCTGCTGCGGCTGCTTCTGTTGCAGACTCTTTTGCGAGGCCTGGCTTCAACATCGAGTGCAACGACGGCAACAAGGCTCGCTGGGGCTTCTGCCTCAACTGCGCCAGCCAGGGCTGCCAGAATGACGACGGCAACGACGCCGACGCAGCCATCGGCATCGGACTCGCAGGACAGAGCACCGACACCGAGCTGGGGGGAGGTTGGACCGCGTGCCGCAGCTACAAAGGCAGATGTTCTTGGTGTGCGTTGCAGCTTTAGAGCGTTCGTGTGGGTGCTCTGCTGGCGCATGCCTCTCTGAGGTACTTCGCTTCGGGTAAAGGTACATGCAGTGCCAACAGCAAGACCTTCAAGGCAGCCTCCAGGCCAAGCAGAGATAGTTATGCTTTGTTTCAAGTTTGTATGCCGTCTCTCCGTCAATTCCACATGCGTCACTTCAGAAGATGTCCGGGGCGTCATGGAATGGTTGAAAGCATATCGTAGCTGCAACTGTGCTGGGCCACACACTCAGGAAAAGCCGTCGCATCAGCGACGTCAGAAGGGAGCATTTTCGCGAAGTAGGAAGAATGTCCTCCGAGCACATCTTCTCATGCATGCCTCCACCAATCCTTGCACGACAAGGGCTCATACTGCAAACCGGGCACGGTAGACAGGAGGTTTACGAAGGCAAGTTGTAAACTGTCCGATGCATCTACAGTTTGGGCAAGCTACCAGCTGAAGCATAAATAAGACCAGAGTGCATCTTATGACATTGGCAATCTCATTTGCGCTGTGTGCTGCAAATCCCCACTTGGAGGTTCATGGGTAGTTATAAATGGGGTTAAGTAGGGTAACTATCCTTCTAACCCATATTAGGGCCTAGGGGACTTACCACCCCACTTATAATTACCCATGAATTTCAAGATCACCATCTCATGATGAGGTCCGCCAGGAGTCCCTGTGCTCGTCCATGACCTCCCTGACCCAGGCCCTGACCCCTGATTCTCCCAAGCCCTCCCGTAGCCGCTTGAACAACAACCCTAAACCCCAAAATCCAAAGCCCCAAACCCTAAGCCCCCAAACCCTAAATCCCCAAACCCTAAAAAAGCCCCAAATCCTAAACCCCAAAACCCTAAACCCTAAACCCAAGACCCAAGACCCAAAAGCCCAAAAGCCCTAAAGCCCTAAACCCTGAATCCTAAACCCTAAATCCTAAATCCTGAACAACTCTAGTTGCAAAGACCACAAGGCGGAGAAAGAACCCGAAGCTCCCCGATGCTGCGCAGCCCAGGTTTGGTTTTGGGTGGACAGCCTCAAGAAACCCATCGCGAAGGATTGGTTTAGGGTTGAGGGTTGAGGGCTTTTGGGTCCCAACCCTAAACCCTAAACCGTCTTCGGTTTATTGTTTTGGGTTTAGGGTTTAGGGGGCTTTTCTTGTCCTGGAAACTCTTAGGTCTTGGGTTTGGGTCTCGGGTTTCGGGGGGCAGATGAGGGGTTCTTCAAAGTGCTTCTGTCATGTTTCTAAGGTCTGAGGTCTACTGTAGGGCTTGGGGGGAGTTTAGGGTGTAGGTAGAGCTTCAGAGTGCTTCCGTCATGTTTCTCGATTGTGGGGCTGCTGTCTTGCCTTTGTCTGTTGGGTTTTTGTTGGCGGAGGGGTGTCTAACCCTAAACCCTAAACCCTAAACCCTAAACCCTTCTTGCTGGCTTCGCCCGTGAAGTGGGGCCGCAGTCTTCAGGTCCACCACGTAGAACATGTCGTCAATGTTTTTGGGGATATATAAACAGGGCCCCAAGGCCTAAGGAGGAAGTCCACGTGCTTAATATAGGGGTCTAAATAATTACCAATACTATTTTGGGGATTCCTTATTATGGTATAGTATACCCCCAAATCCTGTTCTAATTATTGAGGCCCCTACATTAGGGATGGGGTATCTTGTCAGGGCGACTACAAGGTCTTGCCTGGCAAGAAATGCAAAGGCACTCCTTACACGCGGCTTGGCTGCCAAACTATTTTTCGCATCCTCCAGTGGGTGTTGACCATGCTTGCTTACTTGCTTCACAGCCCTCCCTAAACCCTAAACCCTAAACCCTAGACCCTAAGGGCCAACTCCCATACATAAACCCCCAACCCTGCTTCTTAAGAGTCCACGATAAGATTGAAGCGTGGTGTTTTCATTGTGCACCGTGTACGGTGAATGTACCAGAGCCAAGAACACTGCGAGAATATTTGTGCGCTTTCATAAAGCCCTACAAAGTCCAATAAGATCCTACAGCAAACCTGGTTGCTCTGAAAGTTTCGCTTGAGTTGTAGTCAGACCTCAATACAAAGGATTATTTCTCTAAGGACCCCGGCCGCAGGTTCTATGAAACCCCAGTTCTAGAGCAATCTGACGGCTGAGGTTCGATTTGTCTTCGAACTGTGACGGTTTCCAAGGACTGTCCGTGGAACAGCCAGGGACTCAAGGAGCAGCATCTGCTTAAATTCCTGACACTCTGCTTGGAGGTTCATGGGTAGTTATAACTGGGGTTATAAGTAGGGTAACTCTACTTATGACCCATCTTCGGGGACTTATAACCCCGCTTATAACTCCCCATCAACCTCCAAGTAAACCCCGCAAGCTCTAAGGGTACTATACAGGTACTGTGCGGTGAGGTATCTCTACGGGTACCATAGAGATGCTCTACCCAGAGAACCCAATACCCCTAAATTAGGAATACACCTTAAATTATAGGGGCCCTAATATTATGATTTAAGGTATATTCCTTAATTAAGGGGTATTGGGTTCTCTGGGTACAAGGGTACTATAATTAGGCTACAAGAAAGGCGACAGCTCGGGGTCTCATCGGGTGTATCAAAATAGTATACTTGGAGGTGGAGGGTCATGGGACTTAGTACATAGGGTTATAAGTCCCTTTCTTGGGGTTATAAGTATAGTTACCCTCATTATAACCCCTACTTACCAAGTCCCATGATCCTTTAAGTAGGGAATTATTTAGGCCCCTACATTAGGGCTTTGGGGCCTTCGGGGGGATCAAAGGAGCTTTACAGAGGCTTTTGGGCTACTGCTGGGAGTCCCTCCTCAACCCTCCACGCCCTGGACCTTCATCCCACACCTCAGAGCTGTTGAACCTCCTCGCCTCAACTCCACCAGCTCTTAAAGTCCTAAACCCTAAGCCCTTAAGCCTTAGACCTTAAACCCAAACCCCTGGACACTAAAACCTTACACCCTTACACCCCGAACTGCGATCTCCATCGCCGACCCTGCGTCTTACGCCCCTACCCCACCCTCGAGCACGGAGCGCATGGCCCCCCAAGGAGTTCGGTCGAAGACGTAGCCACCCAATATCCCTGAATCAATGGAGGCTCCTTTACAACTAACCTTCCAGAAAGGTCTGTGTTTAGATATGTTTAGGTTTACAAGAGTTCTGAACCCCATACACACTCTAAACGCCTCAAACCCCTTGACCCCGGGACCTACTCGGCTCCCAGAACGACCGGGTACTGAGGTGTCAGAACAAGTGCTTTGAAAGTGCGAAGGCACCTAACTGCCCTCAGAAGACCTGTTACTCGGCTTCAAAACAGGAAGGAACGACATTGACAGGAGCTTGACTAGGGCTTAACCATGGGTTTCTTATCGGGGATGTAGAGGAACTTATGGCTGATGGACAAATGTGCCGACAAGTCGCATAGTCCAGGGTATGTAAGGTAATGTATGATATTAGCCATCGACAGCCGAAGCCCAGGAGAGTAAGCTTTCTTGCTGTTACGACTTAGCCAATGTAAGCTTGTCCTGTAGACTTTCGATTACGCTGCGCCTAAAACCCTAAACCCTGCCTAAACCCTAAACCCTAAACCCTAAACCCTAAACCCCTAAACCCTAAACCCCTCAACTACAATATCTGAAGTTCCTGAGGAGTCATGAGCTTGAAGTTCAACTTCACAGGGATCAGGGCCCAGGTTGGGGGGAGTGTAGGGTCCTTAGTCATTGCTTGTAGTATTGTTGGGGGTTCCTTATCATAATTATAGTAGTATAATGGAGACCCTGTTCTAATTATTAAGGCTCCTACGTTAGGGTTCCTTATCATAACTATAGTACAATGGGCCTCATGACCCTGTTCTAATTATTAAGGCTCCTGCGTTAGTTGCAGCATGTGCCAGCTTAACACCTCAGGAATGTCTTTGTTTCAGTTTTACCCTAAGCCCTAAACCCTAAACCCTTAAACTCCTAAACCCCTAAACCCTAAACCCTTAATCCCTGTCTTTGTCACACCGGCGGTAGCCGCGGTTGTCTTTGCCGCCGCCACGAATTTTCGGATTTGCGGGTTCGGGGCCCAAGATTCAGGGGTCAAGGCCGAAGTTGATGTCCTTGCGCCCAGAATCCCAGTTCGACCTGCGCCGGACGAACCCGTAAAGTTTCGCTTCAAGCCGTACCAAGCAAGGCCTTTGAACGTGCTAAACTCCCTAAACCCTAACTAAACCCTAAGCCCTAGGCCCTAAACCCTAAACCTCAAGCCCGAAAATGGGAGATCCTCGCCACCCAAAGGTTCTGAACCCCAAGCCCTGAACTATAGACCTTGCGTGGTAAGCCCTGAAACGCAACCTCCGAGCCATAAGGTCAAAATCTTTAAAGGCTCTTGAACCTCTGTTAACGAGATTCATGTTGGGTAATATAGGGGCCTTAAGAATTAGAATAGGGTTTGGGGGTATAGTATACTACAATTATAATAAGGAGCCCTCAAAAACCCTGTTCTAATTATTATAAGCCCCTACATTAGGTGGTGCCGCCGTCTCCTACAAGGGGGGTTGGTGCCACCTGTACGAGGCCGCCCTCCGTGGCCTGCCCGGGTGTTAAGGGCTGTTCCTGGAAGCGCGACCCTAAACTCTCTAAACCCTGGAGTTCGGCTTCTCGTGGAGGAGGTGCTTCTCGCTACACCCTACGAAGCCCTGAACCCCGAACCGCAAGCCGTGAATCAAATCCCCCGACCCCAACTGTCAGCATCGACCTTCCCGTGAAAAGGTTACAACCTTAGAGTTTAAGGTTTAGGGTTTAGGGTGCAGGATCCGAATATCAGGGCCCCCACACAAAATCAGAAGTTCTTAGATGTCTCGTTGCAACCGGAACCTGATGGTAAATCATTTCTGAAACCGTTACAACGACCGTCTATAGCCTTGGTACGCACCAGAGGCCTGCTCAAAGAAGCAGACCATCACAAAATGAGTTAGAAACCCACACGAAACCCCTATGTAATACACAAAACCCCAAAGTTTAGGGTTTAGGGTTTAGGGTTTACTCTAAATCCTAAGCCCCAAACCCCGCAAAGAAAACGGGTTCTACCTTATGGAAACTTGTGGGTTCAGGTTGAAAGCTGCTGTCAGGTGCTAGGTGTGTCTTGAAAGCAGCGTTTAGTAAGGACAGTCCCGAAAAGCTTTTTTAGGGTTTAGGGGTAGGGTATTTTACAAGAGGGCTTAAGGGAGCTTTAGGGTTTTTTCGTCAGCAGCACGCTTGGCACTTTGAATTGGAGCCGGGTGGATATTTTCGATACGTAAGCCGAGACATGCCTCGCTTGAAAGGAGTGTCCGGAGCAGTACGATCGAAGTGAAGCTACAGCCATCATTGGGAAGGCCGGGTGAAGCTTCTGTGCTGTGTGGACTGTTTCGAATCTGCAAGGGCCAGATTTGGACTGTCTTAGGCTGTTGACATTCAGGGGCTGGCAAAGTTGTGCGCGCTCTGCTCAGTTTGCTTTACAGTGACTACAGCACTGTTGATCGTGCCTTCCGGATGAATTCGTAGAGATCACAGTTTGGAACCCATGGCTAACCATGTCTTCGGGCTCCCACATGGAGGGCTCTCCCGGGTTTGGGATCGGGCTTTGGGTTTTTCCATGGTTTTTCTGATTTAGGAGTTTTGGGGGTTCTTGGGCGCCCCTTTCAGGAACGCCAGGGCAACTGGAAGCTGGCGCTGAAGGTTGGCAAGACCGCGACGCTGGGCTTCTCCAACCCGCTTTGGACCAACAGCGACTTGCTGAACGAGGCGTCGGCGCCGGCGACCGAGGAGGATGCCAAGTACGGCGCCTTCAACACGGAGCCCTTCAAGAGGCTTCGAATGTGCGTCGGGAGCCCGGAATCCAATTGCGTGGAGCACGTCTTCTCCAAGAAGTACGACAATGTGAAGGACCTCTTCAACGCAGGGTACATTCGAGACGAAACCGTGAAGCGGGACGAGATTCTCAGCACCTTCGGGCCCACAAAGGGTTCCTACCAGGACTGCCCTATGCAGAGGCCAGTGACATAAAAAATTGTACTTTTGCCCTTGGGAGACACGGTTTCGACTGCTGTTGCTTTGGCTGTTCCTGCCGCTGCTTCTGTTGTGAACATGTTCGGGAGGCCTGGCTTCAACATCGAGTGCAACGATGGCAACAAGGCTCGCTGGGGCTTCTGCCTCAACTGCGCCAGCCAGGGCTGCCAGAATGACGACGGCAACGATGCCGACGCAGCCATCGGCATCGGACTCGCAGGACAGGCCACCGACACCGAGCTGGGGGGAGGTTGGACCGCGTGCCGTGGCTGCAATGTACATGCTGTCTTTGCTGTCGCACACAGGGCATGGCCCCGACTTCCAAAAGCGGCACAGGTACTTCGCCTCCGGGAAAGGCACGTGCAGCGCCAACAGCAAGACCTTCAAGTCAGTCTCCAGGCGAAAGTATGGGCACCTAAAGGGGCCGAGGCTGTCGGGTTCCCTAAACCCTAAACCCGAAGCGTTTAGGGTTTTTGGTTCTGGATTCTCATCTCTTTTTGGGGGACCTGCGGGACTCTACACGGGTACCGTGTCTTGCAGGAGCTGCCGCAAGGTCCGAGGAGGAATCTTCCTTTGGTCTACTTTGTTTTCGCTCCTAAGCCCTAAACCCTAAACCCTATACCCTAAACCCTAAACCCTACACCCTAAACCCCTAAACCGAGCCTGCAGGAGACGCTCCGGCGGTTGGGCCCG